TTTCACTTGAGATTGCAAATATCAGGTGGTATGTATTTGCCATTTGGGAAATGATAATAAACATCCCTTGGAAAAGTTAAAAGCTGAATTTTTTTCTTAAAAATGTCATTTCCTCCTCAGCCTTATGTTTACACAACACTGCCCTTTGTCAGAGTGCAACGTGGAAGGTTTTACTCAGACGTGACTTGCTTTTTGGAACATGTTACCCATGGGGTCCGACTGTACAACATCCAAGGTAAGAAAACAAAGCAATAGCTGTGAAACATGTACTCTGGTTCTGGAATTCTTTGTGTGTCATTTTTAATAAACTAGCAATTGGTTTTTTGTGTTTTTTTTGTTGTTGTTGTTATGTTATGTTAATCACCATACATTACATCACTAGTTTTAGATGAAGTGTTCCATGATTCGTTGTTTGTGCATAACACCCAGTGCTCCATGCAGTACGTGCCCTCTTTAATACCCATCACCAGGCTCACTCATCCCCCCACCCCCTCCCCTCTAGAACCCTCAGTTTGTTTCTCAGAGTCCATTGCCTCTCATGGAACAATTGGTTTTTGAACATGGTATTTATGGTGGTCTTTCCTAAACTTGTCATTATACTCACTGTGTGGTTTAAAAATATACTTAGCCTTTTGATAATCAGAAATGGTAAAACATTTAACTCTACATATGTATGTTCTTTCCCTATATATATCTCCTCTTACGTCTCATAATATTTGTCTTGGTCATGAGTTCATTAATTGGAATCTTTATTTCTAAGATCTAAAAACAGTGGGGTTTTTTGTTGTTGTTTTAATTTTACAAAATGGGAATTCTGTCAGTTACGGCTCTCAGTTAGTAGATCATTGACCGTCTCTGACATGCACACACACCCCCCACGTATGGCCTGCCTTAAATATGGAATGTATTACAATAGCAGGTGTTACTGGAATTTAACTTTCTTTTAAGAAAAACGTTCGTTACTAGTTCTTTCTGTTTACAAGTCTTTACCTGGGAGAGTATAAAATCGGGCGATTGTTTATTGCTTTTAGGATGGGACTGATGAGCAGCATCTTTATCAACCAAGTGACAGTAAATAGGCTTTTAATCCTCTTAGGGACTTAACCATGGGCAGTGGTTCTTGTCCTTCCTTAGGATTTGGATGGAGCCGTGGCTCCCAGACACCCTCAGAGTTGCACATTTATGTTGGTTCATGTTGAATTCACTTTTTTTTAGAATGGAGTACTTTTCCAACCACAAATTTAATCCTAGTAACCAGACCACTTAACCATGGTATCAACTCTCTTAGAAAAGGACCTCATAAAAATGCCACTTTAGATTCTTCTTTGCTGTTAGCTAGGCTGAAAAAGTTAGAAAAGGAAATATTGTTTCCTTGAATCTTTATACCAGTAGATAATAAAGCGTTTGAAAACTAATGATAAAATATATGGGCAGGCGCTGTTTGCTTTTTGGGTTTTGTGGGGAAGCAAAGGGTACTGTGTTCAGGGAATGTTCACTTTGCTACCTACAAGAAAGTCTGAAATAATCTTTTATTGAGTTTTATTGAGTTTTCTAAAATCTCTGGTAAGCCAGAAACAATATTTTTGACCATCCTTTTCTACTCTTGCATAAGCCATTGTTCAACATCTCTGAGAGCTCTAAAATTATACCTTCAGCTACGGCCAGAGGTTTCATTTTATGGGTAGAAAGTAGCATCCCCATCACACAGGAGATGTGCTTATCTGCTTTTAGATTTGCTTAAAAAACTGTTGCTTGTAATGGAATGTTTCTTCCTTGAGTACAGCATGGCCCCCACTTTGGCCCAGGCCTGTGTCATCAAGCATGGTTTACTGTTGTTTTTCCTTAGGTCTACTTAGGAGGTAGGCTGTGTGACAGAGTTAATGCTGAAGCAGCTCGCCAGAGAATTCCTACTTCTCAGTCAAGTCCGTTTGCTTAATTGCTTTTCTTTTTGTTTAAATGAGTCTGTCACCATCATTGCAGCCTCAGAGTTTTCGCAGGTTGTCCAGGGGATCTGGAGCTCATCACAGAGGATGGTTTCCGTAAATTAGAGGGCCCTCTTCTGCTGCTGTGACTATAAGCTTAGTTTGCCGTCATAGCCCAGTGGTTGATTTGGAAATTAATAGGCTCTGACTTGCCTGTGTACTCAACCCAACAAACATGCATTTACCAGGCCCTAAAAGCTTTTCTTTTCTCCTCTTTCCTTCTCCCCAGCTAAGCAGTCCAAAATGCCCAATGGCTGACTAGTAGCCCCTTTGCAGAACCAGGAACCACCAAGATTTAACTGCCTCCCAGCCCTCCAAGGTGACAATGCCAGTGGATTGGTCAGTTAAGAAAGAGAAGTTGTTCTCAACTGGACGCTTAGAGTATTAGCATAACAAAAATAATAATAATAAAATAAGAATACAGACCTCGAATTGCCTCTGGATGTCACAATGGGTGGAATAAACAGGGTGAAGCATTTGGATGAGATTTCTGTAGCTTGAAAGCAGAAAGCTTCATTAGTTGGTGAGAAACGACAGATAAATAAGTTAGGTATAACGTGAAGTTAACTTAGAGTGCTTCTCCAGATGCGTTTTACTGTTCTTGGCTTGGATTGAACCTGAAACCAGCGTGTATAACCATTCGAAGTGACATAGCAATCTTTATTTTTGCTCTCTCAAGCCCAGAGTGTTTATATTTTTTGTTTTTTTCCAACATGAAAGCAATCGGTGGGAGATGGAGATACCAGTTCACCTGAAAGGCTTTCATTCAAACTATACATCCTTCTATGTTTGTATCTGAGCCCTTCTCAACAAATCTCCCTCTTGGAAAAAATAAGCCCCGTTGTGGAGAGAGAGCCTCTTCTCAGTCGCCTTCCTGACCTCCCTCCATCTTTCGTTTTCTTTCACATACCGGTGCATGAAGGCTCAGGTTGTCTGGATCCTGGCTCATTGGGGTTTTAATTAAATCACTGGTCGAAACCTAAGGAAGAGATGTGAGGTCTTCAGGGTGTTTGGATGTCGACGAGTTCAAAGTGCCTGAATGGGGTCTGGTTATGCTGCACCAAAGCAGCCATACTGTGAAATACTTGAAAGCTCTTCGGTGTTTTAAACTTCGGCCTCATGTAAACCAGGTATCTGGGCGATTGATCAAAATCCATGGACAGGATGTAGCTTTTCGTCTTAGGTGTAGAGAAAACATCAGCCAACTTCCATGCTTTTGTCGAGTGGCTTGTGTTTAATATTTCTTGAAAGAACGTAAATACCTACTTTCAAATTTAACTTTCTAAATTGTCTTTGGATGTATGCTAATTGTGCCCCCTTTAAATCAACTGACCAGATGCAGTTATTCGGATGAGTATTAATGAATAGAGCCTGTTTGTTGCTAGTACCAAATTTATGAGCCAGAAAAAAATGGGGCTTGAGGGAGAGAAACTATTAATATTTTATGATTAGGTACTATAATGGTATTAGGTTACTAAACCATTAATTATACAAAAGATTTTATTACCTCTCAGCAACAAGGATAAAGAAACAGAAAGAGTTGATATTATGGAATATCTGTCTTTATTGAGAGTCTATATTAAATGTTTCAAATTCAGTTTACTTGAAATATTCTTTTAAAAAAACTAAAGTAATACAAACCTGATAAAGTATTCTTAAATTCCTCAGTCTCTATTTTAGTTACTCTTTGACCGTTTTCTCCCCCAAAGTAACCTTTGGCTCCAATTAAGCTTTGGGAGAGAAAACAAAAGCAAGAACAGAAATCAAACAGCACTTCCCAGATTATAAAAACTGTGTGGTCATCATTGATTTTGCAACAAACTGAGTTGGGAGGCGTAGGTTCAACCAACTTTGTTTTTTTGTTTTTTGTTTTTTTCTTGGTGTTTTATATTTAAGTTTTAGTGTCTATTTGTGTTCTCTCCAGATTCTGAAAATGGTCAGAGGTGCAGTTTAGAGTCCTCTCTTAACATCATTTAAGCTATTAAAAAACACTCTTGTGTTTCTTTTCATTATTGTTCAAACATTACATTCAAAACGTTTCTAGAAATATTAAATTAGAGGAAATCTTGTGCTCACTAGCTTTAAAAGCTCTACAAGATCAGAGGGATTTGAAAGAGTTCTAATGCAACACAATGTATCGCCTTCTATCAGGTTAAATAAGAAATCCATTTTGAGGCACCCATAATTTAATGAAATGCCCTTTTGGAACTATTTTTTTTTAATTTTTCAAAGATTATATTTAGTTTGTAGAAAATAACATTTTTCTGGAGGAAAAGATGGGAGAAATGAGGATTAATTTTTCTTGCACTATAATCATCTTTCATTAAATTGAAGCTTTTTGTGTCACTAAGGCTACTTTAGCTTTTTTTTTGTTAATCTTGATTTGGAAGATAGAATGTGATACAGGCAGAAGCCCCTGTATCCCCTTACGTTATATTTGTTTCATCACAACAAGTGCATACCTTGCAGTGACATCATGATCAGTAAGTGACATTTGCTAGCTGTGGCTTCATTTGTCTTTGGAGTTGTAATTATTAGACTTTGGTGCCCTAGTTTTTTGACATCAACAGCTACTTTGAAGAATGAGGTTGCTATGGGTTACCAGTGTGTCCTGTACATTTTCACTAGCACAAGGTTCAGGTTCCAGATCGGTTAAAATATATACCTTCAAGCTTCCCCCCGCCTCTCCGCCCCAGGACTACGTTCTCCTAGGCGGGTGTTTGTGAATGAATGAGTATGTGTGTAAACCATGTTTCAACCCTTAAGAGAAATATCTAAATGCAATACTTTTGCCTATTTTCCACCAACATACTATGAAAGTACTATATGTAATGGATCTTGCTAAAAGAAAGCAAGTAGCCTGGAGGTAAAATGTAATGAACTGCCATCAAAAAGTATGGAAGAAAAGACTTTCCTTTGGCTGCAATGACTGAGTAATTTCCTTGCATGGGCACATTTAGCATTCAAAAAGAGGTCGCTTAGTTTTTCTCTGTTTTGAATATGTAATGTGATTGGATTCATAACATGACCCTTGACTTTTAGAAAGTCAAAATGAACTCCATCTAGTTAAACACATAAGAGAATCACACTGGGAATTAGAGGTCTGAATCCTCAGTTGTGCCTTAAAGCCAACCAGTGACCTTGAGTTTGTCCTTAGATTTCTTACGGACTCAGTTTCTTAAACTGTAGAAAGACTAGATAGATGGCCAATTAGGTATAACCATTAAAGAGTCTTCACAAAACTTAGTATTAC